GTACAAGTTACGCGTGAAAATTATAAACATCACTAAAGAGCAACCGACTTTGCTGGTATCCGAAAGTGTCTATTGGTCCGACGCCAAACTACGAACGAGGGAAAATCGCGATAATGAAATACCAAAGCGACGTTATTATTTTTTTATTATAAAGCTTTTGTTTATTGCTCTAATTATATATGAATTCCCAGGCTACAAAGATCTTCAAAAATAAAAATATATGGGAAACTATCTGTTCGTTTGAATATATTAACGTCTCATTGAGACCCACATCGCTGTTCCAGTCCGGGTTGGTGGGCTTTAACCAATGATGTGGCAGTGACAAATTCATTCTATTTATAAGGATGTTTGTCAGGCGACCGTTCGCCTTTTAGTGTTAATTATGTTATTTAAATCTCTTATGTTAAGCAACGCCTCTTACGCTTTGTACCTACTGCATATTTTTGGATCCAGCATAACAAACTTTTGTTTTTATACATCTTTTTAATAAAACACGTAGCTGCAGTGAACACGTGTTGTTATGTTTTATTCAACTGATGAATGCTATGCTATGAATTTTAATAGCGTAAGCTTACACATTTTTTTTTTTTGAAAAAGATGCACTTATGTACTTTTTTATGGAGAGAATAGTATAGCTGCTATTTAGGAAAATATTCAAGATATTTTTTGCCTAATTCTGAAATTAGTCTACACTAGTATAATTATTATTTGTTTTACTCAATATACTGACGCGACATAGATTGAGAGAAAAGTCTTTTCGCGTATCGTATATTTGTATATACTTGAACATGTAATTACATCTCTATGGCTATATTATTTAAATCTGGCTGGTGTTGATGTTATCTAAAAAATAAATAAACAAAACAATTTCGAATTGTTTTGTTTAATGTTATATTTTTTTTATTCAAATTTAGTGTGTAGTTTTTACTATCGAACATTTTGTTCCAACCATGTATACAGTATGCAGCATATATTTTGTACGGGAAGCACAGATAAATACCAAATACTTCGACGACCGAATTAATTAAAGTACTGTGTTAGTGTTGCCAGGCGCGCTGACGTTGACAAATTAAGTACGTTGTTGGGAAAGCGCTTACCAGTATTATATTACCCACTAATTTTGGTTTGTTATCTGATTTAGGGAAGCTTTAATCCTAATCCAGTCACTGACTTTATTATCCCAGAGATAAAATGTGACTTGAGGTGTTCCTTCCGTTGAGGGGTTCACACAGTTTTGTTGCCACGTTGTTTATTGATTTTAAAACAAAATAAAAAAAAAACAAATATTGTCTTTGGTTACTGTGTGTACTAATGAAACAATTTCAACGGTTTAAATGTAACATTATTTTAAACCACCAATGAACTGCATATCGGGCTGTCTTTCGGGCTGTTCGGCCGATGTGAGCGAACAGCCCGAAAGACAATGATATACTGAACGATGGCCGTGAAAGCCTTACACAATTTATCACGCGATATATTAGTAAAACTTATTTTTAACTTCGGAGAAGTGTCTCCCCGTGACCACGGCTGCTGTTAAGCATCCGAAACGTCGGACCGAAGTTAAAAATAATTTTCAAATAAGTTTAACTAATATATCGCGTTTTAAACCGTTAAAGTGTTTTATTTAATGTGTACTACTCGCGTAAGCTATAGACAGTATTTAATGAACTATTACTTAATAATCAATTGATCGACACTATGCCTAGCATTGCGTTAAGGGCGAAAGGATCTGAGTTTGAATCAAATAAATTGTCGGACTCGGGTAGGACACAGATAGCAAATCAATTTGAAACATATTTTGATCCAAGCCCATCTAGGGACAACAGAGTTGGACATACCCAAAAGTATTTGATAAAGAAGTTAACATTATTTAGGTAAATTTGGATACCACATCCAAAATTATGTATTATGATCCTATATTATATATTAATTTCTAGTCCATTATAACAAGATAGAGCAGATAGACAAATTACTCTATTAAAAAAATAGCTCTTATCAAAATCTCTTTACTTATTTGGTAATGTACAGTTTAAATGTATTGTATAACTTCACTTTCAATTTTTCATGATCCGTATGCAGTAAACTTAACTTAACTTACAGTATGTAATTTGAATGTGCTAAATAAAAGCAAGTCGTTTTTATACTTAGTATCGTTACATGAAACAGTCTAAGAAATGACTTTTAATACTTGGTCATACTCTGATTCAACAAAAGCTTCTTAACAAATTTTGAAAACTTTTGAAGTAACTACACTATTCTTGTCTACTTATTGATGCTACCTGGTTTTCTTAAATATTATTGAGACCATAATCTACCGCTAGCTAAATGTCTTGGAAGATGTCTTAACGCGACCTTCCTTTACCGGGTATCATGTAGAACAAATATTTTAGTGGAGCGGCCGAAAATCGACCACTCGAGTCTTACCACCAGACCAATACGAATCTTATAATCTCGACACCTACGAATAGGCACGTGTTTAATTTTAAAAATAATGAGTAAATTTTATGTTACTATAATTGAACAATAAAAAAGTTGCACAGTAAACATTAAGCTTAGCCGTTAAAACCAAGTTAGCGTCACCAGGCACTGGCTATCAGCAGCGACTGGCGATTTATGACGACAGGCTGACTTTTACTTTGTTCTGAGATGATGCATCGCTGCACACTGAAATTGTTTTAGACCATTTTTCCGCTTTGAAGTTTTAATATTACAGCCTCCCGCTGCTCAAATGCTTTGTAATCCGATAAATTAGGTTTTTTGAAAAATATCTTCGCTTTGACTTTGACAATGTTTCTTTACTTTAGCGTTGTAGTTAAACGATTACTATTGCGTTAAGTGCGGTAAATCCAGGGTTCTAATCCCGGCAAAACATACGTTTTGGTCAGTTTTAAAGCGATCAGCAAGACCGACAGTATCTCGTAACCTGATCGCAAGTAAAAAACACTCGTCCACTTTATACTTAAAAATAAGTGATTTATTTTTTTTGATTGAGGTGGACAGACAGGCATGGGGATCACTCCAGCACATCACAGCCATATATTGACAAGATAAGGTGTCACCCTATTTTGGCTTTGGATTTTCGGAAATCCACAGACTGTAACCGAAACGCAATGAGACACAGATTTTTTTATCAGTGGACAGTGGATAGTGGCGCGGATGGAATTGTTTATATTCCTACCGCACATTTAATATCGCGATTTCTAGCGATGTAGAAATCAAAAATGTTGGACCCAGTGGGAATTTTACTCACCAACGAAATGTTTCAAATTTTTTATATGATAGGTCTTGAAAACTTTAATATTTTTTACATGTTATTACACATGAAGGCACTGTACAATATAAAAATCGAAAATAATTTGAAAACACTTTCGACTCGGGCAAGTCTTGAACCGGCATCGTCAGCGTTCCGTACTGTTGCTCTACCGAGTCGGTAGCTCAATATATGATTAATAAAGATGAATAGATAAAAAGCTTTTGAACCAGATTTTTGTCTCGTCTCACCTAAACGGGTGAAGGCTTGCCCACAGTTATACAACTTCTGTCCGTGACCTTAAACAAACAAGAACCCGCACGGGAGGGATCAGACAACAGTTTATTCTGCGATCTCATCTAAAATAAACTCAGGTGAAATCTTTTAGCTTGTATCCAACCGAAAATAATACTCCGATCCAACGAGTACTTCCGAACTAACGAGTACTTCCGTTGATTAACGAGTACTATAATAACTTATCGTTACCCATAACAATATGGTTAACTGACATGTTTATTTTGGAGATAAAATATTAATAAATTTAAGACATACTGTATAGATTGGAGAGAAAATAGTCTTTGAACGTCATTTCTACCTATTATGGGTGCCTCATTTTGAATACGGTAGCTCTATTGGTTAGAGCAACAGCACGGAACGCAGACGATGTCGGTACAAGTCCTGCCCGAATCGTATTTTTTTTCAATTTATAATCGATTTTTAATATATGCTATCTTTTAAAAATACTTACTGAATCATCATTGACAGGTTGAAATTATAATTATTGCTTTCAAAGCACGTACGCAGAAATAATGTTCGTTTTTCTTTTTTTATACCTGTTAGAAAGACGCTTAACAACTGACCTTAGCGGTATCAATTTGACAAAGCTTGTAAACACTTAACAGCTATCTGTTTTATCTTTGTATTGCTAATGTTACTGAGTGATTGATATGCTAAACTGGGTACCTTTAGTGTGTTCTTGTTTGTTTGTGTGTGTGTGTCTTTGCAAGTTATTTTACTGATAATTTTGGTCAAACATGTTACACTTCTCTAACGACAAGAAAAAGGATAACGTGAGACAGTTCTACACCCCAGATTTCTGTTCGTATCAACAACGATACAACAGTATGAGGGAGTAGCTGTGACAGTAGGGTCGTTTTGACTGACACGTCGGGTCATAGTAATAAGTAAATACAAAAAAATACTGTCTATAGTTTACGCGAGTAGTACACATTTAAATAAAACATTTTAACGGTTTAAAACGCGATATATTAGTTAAACTTATTTGAAAAGTTAAAAATAATTTTCAAATAAGTTTTACTAATATATCGCGTTTAAACCGTTGAAGTGTTTTATTTAAAAGTAAATAAAAAATTTCCAAATGTTTAGTTCAACAATTATTTGTCAAAGATATCTTAGTATATAAATCTGTAAAAGTTCAAAAAGACTTTTATCCATTTAAACATTTGCAGATGAGATAGTCTTAATTCTATATTATATCCTTGTAAATGTAAATAAGTACACTTAAAAATAAACAACCGCAACTAAATAAAAGATCTTTTTATTCAATAATAGAGCACTTACAGTTTACGGCAGTTTTGATTACAATTAAAGTGATTTTTATCAATTAAATTATTACTTTAAACAATGATAAATATTTATAAATAAACTTATATAGCTATTGTCAAACATTCTTAATTTTAGAATTTACAAACTAGTTAAATGCATCGATTCACTTGGCACAGCCGACTGGCTACACAAAACTTTCATTATTTTTAAAATCGTATACAAATATAGTTTTCTCTTGTTCCAGCGAACACACATATCTGTTCTTATCACATTCATTCACTAGTGTTGCGCACACGTTGTTCGTTTTCGAATCTAAATTTAATATCTGCACTTGTTTACTTTCAGGAACGATCTCGGAATTTATTTCAACGTGCACTTCGATATCGCTACGATCTTTCGCTTTGGCGTCACGTTTAATATTCGCATTTATAATGCTGTCCAAGTCGTTGTTCAATTCGTTCATGGCTGCAATAATTTTCATGCTGTTACGCCGCACATTTTCCACATTGACAATTTCACCCACTTTCACCTGTTGGACCTTTGTATCGAAAATTTCCTTTACCTCTTTAAGTTTCTTACTCTCTCTATTCAGGAAAAACTTTTGTGATGACGTCCTATTGCTGTATCTTCTCCAGAAGGAGTCACTGGTGTTTTGACTGCTCGAGAACCCAGTAGATGTCGTTGTGTTGAATGTGTCTCGTCTCTGCATGTTTTCTCTTAAATTTCTTCCGCATCTCATTAATTTATTAACTTTCAGTAGTTTAACGAAACCTTCCCTAAATTTGGAGGACATGAGATTGTACAGAATCGGGTTTATGGCCGAGTTCAAATATAACATTACTCTACAAAAGTACAAAAGTATATAATAGCCATCTATACCTAACGACATTATTGTCTCCGGGGGGAATACGATGATCCATAGTGTTAGAGCTTTGAATGGAAGTAAACAGATGAAGAACGATAGAACCACGGTTCCGAGCATGAGGATAACCTGTTTTCTGTACCGTAGTACATTACCAGCGTTATTATTGTTTTTGCTGTTGTGTGCGATGAGTACTGGGTTCTCCATTAGGTTTTTTGCGATGACGCTGTACAGTACAAGGAGGATGCCTAGCGGGATGATGAAGAAAATGGCGATGATGAGAATAAAGAAAAGTGCCGACCAGAAGGTGTCCGCCTGTGTGAGGCAAACGGGGACTTCCGTGCCATCGTCGTATCGCTCGTGGGTGAATGTTGCGACCGCCAGAATAGGACTGTAAACAAAAAGGAGATTAAATAACAATGATGTGTATCAGTTGTATAATTTTTGTTTTTGAGTAGACACTTAAAGGTTTATGTGCAGGATGAGCATTTATATCAGGTCAGGGCAGGAGTTGAACCTACCATTATCAAAGAACCATGCGTTGCGCAACAGACTAATAGAAGACAGACAAACACATAATAAAAACGGCCATGTAAAATCTGATCTGATGCACTATCACACTATTTTTGCTTAAAATATTCAAAAATCCAGAGAATAAACCAAAACGCTAAAATGTTTATAAAAAGATATTCCGAAAATGAGATACTACAAATACGTACTTTTAATAAAATTATTTATACCAACATTGTATTTTCTTCCTTAATTCCTAGATATAAGAAAAAAACTGTATACTACGGACGTTATTACCAACCCACCATTTTATTAAGATGTTCATAGCACCCATTTGTTAAAATATGAAGCTTCCTTTTCACCGTGACAAAGAAAAGCCGTATATCACAGATTTATAGGCGTATATAATAAATAGTCACAACGGTGTGCGTGTGTATATGAATTACCGTTTCCCCTATGGGGGGCATTAAGCTTTCCTGGACTTTGAACGCCGAACTTCTAGCGAAATACAATGTGAGGCTACGTTTAACAATTATGTCATGAAAGCACTATCTAAGTAAAGATATATATATATTATGTGTTAAAGTTTATTTGACCATAGACAAATCAAACCTAACTGTAGTCCTGATTCCAGTCCGTTACGTCTAACATAATATAGAGTTCCGAACATTGAGAATGTTTGCTCGGAAAATATCGTTTCTGTGACTTTTCTAAAAATAACTTCAAGCAGATGTGATTTAAACTATTCAGTACTCCTTACTACGAGTTATATTTTCGTCTCATTCATCATACAACATAAAGACTAAATTATTTACTATACAGCTGTAACAAGTTATTAAAATCGATATAGCTTTTAAATAAAACACTTTAACGGTTTAAAACGCAATACATTTTATTTAAACTTGTTTGAAAATTATTTTTAACTACGGCCCGACGTTTCGGATGCTTTGCAGCAGCCGTGGTCACGGGTGGTCTCGCGTTTTAATCTGTTAAAAGTGTCTTATTCCAATGTGTACCGCGTAAAGAGATCAAAATATCATAGCAGTATTTACTTTGACTTTCAGAACATCCTCTATGATCAACCTGTGATCACCGCTGCTGCAAAGCATAGGAAACGTCGAGCCGTAGTTAAAAGACTGTGTATTACTCGCGTAAACTATAGACAATATTTAATCGATACAGCTTGTAAAAACATAGGTATTTAAAATAATAGTTATTACGGTTCGAAGCGCGAAATATATGGAAAAATATTAATATCTTTTAACAATCACTTTCTTACACTTAATTATCTTATTTTGCAAATTTAAACTTCACCGCTTTTACATCGATCCATTGCAGTCCGATAACATATAGGTATATCTTTTTTTTAACGTAAGAAAATTCTTTCGGATACCCACCGCACCAGAAGTAGCAATTAGGTTATGTGGGACTGAAACCGACTAAAACCCCACAGTAGAACCTCTGACACAAATGTGATATAGGTTTATCTATATTATTTTTGAAAACACAAACACATTTTTTTTATCAATTTACTTTCAATTTTTAAATTATATATTATTTTTGTTCAAAATTAATCGAAAAATAATAAAGACAAATAGGAAATAGGTACTAAAAACATGATGGACCACGATCCATTGGTTATTACTACCACTAAGAACGAACATATAAAATTCACGATCAACTTTTTAAGTGGCCTTATGAAAGATTTATTGCTTAAAATCTATATGCATAACTTTCCGTATTAAACAAAGGAATGTAGATAAAAGTGCCTATACTGTAGACAACTATAAGTTGCATACCCACTCTGTGGATATTGTCATTCCGCGGAGTTATTGCATCCAGTTCAGTATTGTGTTGAACAATGGCACTGAGAATAAATACTACTCAACCCGACAATATTATCGCGATGAAGAGATAAATATCAGTGTTTGTTTTTATTACTTAAGAATAAAAAAAACACTGTCTAATTAGATACTTTCCTGATATTGACAGGGAGTCAAAAATGTGTGCGTTCCGTTGCCCGATAGAGGCAACTTAATTTTACTTGAAATATAAAACAGAAAAGATCTCTTAAAAGTCTTAATTCAAGTTACTTCAGAGGGACAATAGTTGTACTTAAACCAATTTGAAATATACATATATTGTAAGGTGTATAAATTTAAAAATCGAGCTTAGCTAAACCAGAATTCACAGTTGAATTGGTTAGAACAAATAGCACAGACCATTGCGGATGCCGAAATCATAAAATCCATTTTTTAATAACTAGCTGTGTCAGCGACTTCGTCCGCGAGAGACGTTATTTCGGGCATCCAATTAGTTTCTGAGAACCCCGTCATCTTTATAAGCTGTCAGCCACGATGTCGATCGCGTCCCTTCCCGTCGTTCTTGCAAGTTAACCTTAAAAGATAGACATATAGTGTCGCATTATATACATTTTTAGGTGTCTTAAACCTTTTTCGCAGCGTACGCATCTAAAACCCACAGAGATAAAAAATTTCCCCCGTTTTGTTCACATTTCCCTGTATCTTCGCTTCTATTAGTCACGGCGCGATGTTTTATAGCAATTTTTCAATTTGAACCCGTAGTTACTGAGATTACCGCGTTCAAACAAACAAACAATCTCTTCAGCTTTATATATTAGTATGTCAAAAAAAATTTCAAACTTGATAGGTATATTTAAACCAAAAAATATCTCGTTACGATTATGTGGTAATAAAACTTCTCGCTTCCATATCTCCATCTGTCTTTTGTCAAATATCCTTAATACGCTTGTTGTTAATACCATTATTAGTAGAAAGGTACTGAAGATAAATTATAGAGCGTTTCAAATGGAACCATCGTAACTGCACAACGAATATCATCGGTTTGACTATCGCCTGTGTTATCGACTTCTGAAAATAGTTTTTCAATTCTGTAAGTTGTAATTTTTATTAACTATAACAACTAGATCATATAATCAACAGTATTATAATAGAAATGTTTTCAAAATAACTTTGTGAATCACACAATCCTTTTGTTAAGTTTACACAGATAATATTGTCTATTCGTAGCAAATGCGCAACGAATAAGTTTCAAGTGGCTGAGATATGAACGAAGTACGAACCGACCGATGTACTTTATAATCTATAGTTTTACGAAACAGACTAGTTCTGTTTATGCATTATAATAATATTCAAAAGTTGGTTTGAATACAACAAATCATTTCTATTTAATAAAATCTAAATACTATTTTGTACGAACTAAATTTATATTATTTTATATTACTGTTTGAAGTCCCTTGACTTTTTGTTGAAAATTATTTTTAATTTTATAATTTGACTTGTTAATGTTTGTCGAATTCTACGTAGGCACCTCGTTATAAATAAATTAAGTAAACAATGAGGCAACTACCACAACCTGCTGAGGTGTACCCTAAAATGTCCCTCGTCTTCATCATCAGACCCCCAACGATAGCCACAACTCATATAGGTGTAAAGTTACTTAATAATACTTTTAATGTAAGCTGAAACATAAGTAAGCTTTTAAATAAAACACTTTAACGGTTTAAAACGCGATATATTAGTTAAAATGATTGAGTTTAACTAATATATCGCGTTACAGTGACAAAACCATTAAAGTGTTTTATTTAAATGTGTACTACTCGCGTAAACCATAGACAGTACATAAGTAAGCTGCTGTGAATCGTTAAGGAGTTCCTTCATCTGTCTCTTAACACCATCATCAGGTCTACTCTATTAAATTGTAGCGTAAAACTGAAATTAAAAAGGGTAATTTCCGATGACGTCATGATAAAAGAAATACATATGTTTATTTTCCTTTTAATAACAGTGCTTACATAGTTTTTTGAGGAAGCATATTTTTAAACAACTATGGTAATTCTATTAACGTTCTTAATCTATTTTGGCACCTCGTAATCAATACACAATATTAAATTACATAAACCTATTAAAAGCACTAATCAGGGAATATCTTATATTCTCTACATTACAATAGAAATTCAACATCAAAATCATAACAAGAAGCAATTCGAAGTCATAATCTTAAAAACAATTAAATAGTTTTTAAGACATTCTGAACATCACAGACCATCTGATACCAAACCGAGATTCACATTTTTCGGTTTTTCCACCCATTGGTCCGTGATTGGACGCGATTTTGATATTCCTACCAAAGTTTTGTTGTGTAGATTGAACGTACGTTAGTAATATGCTGGACCCGTTGATTTTTAGTAACTAGATCAACATACAAAAGTGAGAGCTGACTTAATTATGTATTGTAAATTCATATTATTCAAATGTCTTATTAGCCGTTTAATACAATTTTATTATATTACTTGTAATAATCTAAATTAATTGAATGTACCTAAATTATAAACAAGTTAGTAACTCTTCTAAACAATCATAAAAATTTCACAAGAACCTAAAGACATAGTAAGCTTAAACTTATATAGTCATAAATATTTTTATCATAGAGATACAGTATTCTAGCAAAACATTGCATATATTATTCTACTACAATAAAAATTGTGCTAAGTATATTTTAGAATTTTTTTTTTCATATATCTATTTATACACTTTAAGCTCCCTGAGTTTACTTAAATATTATAAAAAAAAACTCTCCAACAGTAAATATATTAAAACACTTTTTTCGTGGAACAACTATTAAAGTTAATGTACTGAGTTAAAAAAAAAATCCTTTTAAATAAACAGTGTGGACAATCTTTCTTAGAAAGTGTTAACTAAGCCGATTTATAGAACCTAGAATTTCAAAAGAAATAAGTACAAAAGAGTTTGTGTTTATTCCATAAAGAACCGGTATAAATACAATTTGTACATAAAACCGTCGGAAAAGTTCCGGCGCTGGATGAAATAACGCTATTAGCCGTATTCGTCTAAGAAAAGATCTGACTAGTTGAGGTATTGCTAAAACTTCGCTCAATAAATTCTTTTAAACAAGCACACAGTTGATAACCAGACAGTAATGACTCGTATTTAAAACGAAAATATTTCATAACAATATTCTATAATTACGCTAATCACTCGGCGAAGCCAAAGTATAAATTTTTACATAACATGAACAAAAAATTGCAAGTCAAAATATTGGAATCCGATAATTTTAATTTGTAACATTACCGATCTCCACGAATATAAGTTACTTTCAATAATAGGTACATCGTGTGTACATTATCAGTTCAAGTACTTTTGAAATAAAGCAGTTTTGACGGGTTAAAACGCGGAATATATTAGTACATTTAATTTTAATTTCACTACGGTATTTACGATACTTGTATGTTAAGGGACGAACTTGCGATTTAAACCGTTAAAAGTGTTTTATTTTATTAGAATGTACTCCTCGCGTCATCTCCGCACAAAACTAAGTTGTATTACTGGTGAAATTTCAACTGTAACACATTCATACAAAACTCTCTGGAAAGTCATAATCCACACTCTTGGACTTGAAGCCGACGACGCAATCAACCTTTATCTTTTGATAGACAACGAACTTTTTATTGTCTTCAAGGCTCTTCGCCTTAGCGCTGTTTATTAGGACGGCCCGCCTCAGCGATCCGTGATCACGATTACCATCCAGCTCAATATCCAATCTATTTTTAGTATTTACATTGGAATGACCCATAAATCTCGGAGCGTCTCTATCTCCAGGCCTATCTGACGGCAATATATTCTCCACTTCCGTCATATTACCTTCGCTGCGCATTCTGTTTATCTTCGGCTTGGACTCGCACACCGGAGCCGACTGCTGCCTTATAAATCTCTTACTCGTGAATATACCGAAGAAATTATGCTTCGCAGCGTCTTTGCTTTCCTTCTGTCCATCTGTTTCACTCTTATCGAAACTACTGCGGTGTGTAAACAACTTTTTGAGACTGTTTGTCGTTCGCGATAAGCTGCTACTTGTTGTTGATCCGTTCGTTACCGTTCTTTGTACCCGTCTGTTTTGATTTCTGTCCGTAGATCTCTTATAGCAGATGCACATCTTACAGAAACCGATGCGGAATTTCGAAGACATCAAATTGTACAATATAGGGTTTATAGCTGAATTTATGTACAACATTATCCTTGAAAAGTACAGTAAATTATACCACTTCTCCGGACTGATATTGTCAGACAGTTCTGCTGGTGTGATGATAATCCATAACGCCAAAACCCTATATGGCATTAGGCAGAGGAAAAAACATAAGACTACAGTTCCTAACATTAAAATGACTTGTTTCCTTGCTCTGACGTTGTATGGATCTACGGTTTTATTCATGACGACCTTCGACGCTGCTGATATTAGATTTTTGGCTATCACTGTGTAAAGGATAATAAGAATAATGAGAGGCAAAATGTAGAGCAGAATTATGACCATGACAAAGAATGTGATTTCCCAAACGGTAACAGCTTGCGTCAGACATTGCTGGACGATTCCATCTTGCCTCGTAACGGAATGCAGCTCAGCTATCGCCAGAATTGGGCTGAAAAGAAAAAAGGGGAAATAAATAACACTGAAACTCTACATTTAATTACAATAAGAGCAAATAAAGATTTAACCAAACGAGAAATGAGCTGAATCGAAAAATGATATCTGTGATGGTAAACCATTATAATGTTGTGATGATAGAGTTAAGTGTCTCAACGAAATAAATGGCGATAAAACTGAAATTCATGGTAAATGTATTTGTGACTAAAGAAATGAAACGTGCGAAGAAGCTTAGTGCAAACAAGCGTATCGTACAAGAAGCTGTCATATTATTATGTTGTACGAACCTTGTCACAATGGGTTCTTGTATGCAGGTCGATATCATGCATGATAATCATCACACATTATTTCAAGCTCACAAACTTATTAGGTGATATGAGTGAACGCAGGTATTTCTTTCGTAATTTGTCAGGAAATTGAAAGAAGCTCTTCATGATCAAACGTGTATAAAGACATTAAACCATTTGACATGAATAATATTTCAAGTACTGTCTGTAGTTTACGCGAGTAGTACACATTTAAATAAAATACTTTAATGGTAACGCGATGTATATAGTTAAACTTATTTTTTATTTATACGAAACTTCGGGTCGTCGTTAAACTAATTTCCAAATAACTTTAACAAAAATACAGCGCGTTTTAAACTTTTAAAGTGTTTTATTTAAAAGTAATATTTGTAAAAAACACATTATAACTCTTAAAATCGAAGTAAATATTGCATAAAAATTTCTTAAATACATAAAGGAAAGCAGTATTAAACTTAAGTTAATGTAATTTTATTTCTAGACGTCATCAATTAATATGCAACGCCTATAGAATCACAGTTACAGTATAATAAATAGTTCGATCATTCCGTTTCAACGAAACAAATGAACAAATAAAACCGACAATGTCCCACTTAAGTTTCATAACGACCAAACCATTGTTCGTATACTACTGACCAACGTAAAGTATAAAGGAGTAAGTGAGGACAAGTAACGACCTCTGCCGGGAGGGGCTATAAACTGCACGCTGCAAGTACAACTGAACTTGACGACAAGTAGCCACACGAACAGCGGGTAAAACTAAGCTTTAAAACTTCAGCACTACCGCACTACAGTAGTGTGTACGTCGTAAATTTTGTGGCGTGTTAAATGAGGTATTGGTATTTTAATATTTATAGTTTCGTACTATCTGTACTATTATATAAAGCTGAAGAGTTTGTTTATTTGAACTCGCTAATCTCAGGAACTACTGGTTCGAATCGAAAATTTTTTAGTGTTAGTTAGAGCATTTATCGACAAAGGCTTTTAGACTATAAAACATCGGGATGTGAGTAATAGATGCGAAGAAACAGCGGGAAATGTAATAAAAACGGGGAAAATTATTATCTTTGTGGTTTCCGATGTGTAACGCTGCGAAAACGGGTACAGTCTCTATCTATCCTTTAAGAATAACTTTTAAGAATTACAGGACGCGACTGATGTCGTGGGTAACAGCGTAAACTAAATAACTAAAAAACGTATCCATAATCGTTCATAACTCTCAATTCCCACCGCGTTTATGCCGTTCTAGTTTCCAAGCCCGACAATAATACTCTACTCCATTTACAGGATAAGCGCTAATTTAATTTTTAATTAAAGAAGAAATTTGCATTCACTTAATGTGGTTAAAACCGTGCCGAGGAAGACATTTACAAAAGGCGGTTGTAATTTCTTATTCTTTTACGAATTCAACTTGTTATCATTCAAGTCAATTATCAAACTTTAAAAGTATTTTAAAAAAATGTTTCAAAATTGTAATCGTTAGGCACTAGCTCACTAACAGGATCTTATTACACAACAACTATACAACCTTTAACAATATTAGTATATAGCCCTTATGATTATTTTTTGCATGACTTGTTGGTGTACCGTCAACCTATGGCTCGGATGTTGGGTTCGATTCCCACCAGATCCAACATATTTCTAATCAAATTATAATTATTCTATTATATTCTATAACCACCACGACTAGATACACCAGACTTACTTAACATATACATTTCCAGAAAAATTCCAACATGTTTCTGAAAAACTATAAATGCCCGTTGACTATAAGGCGAAGCCATCATTGGCTTTAATAGACTTGTAGACATTCAAATATAAATTAAGTATTGTTATCCTATATTAAAGAAATTTAGCGCCGTTGCTCAGTAAATCACTTACGAAAAAATCTCGAAAATATGACGAATTATTCATTCACGGGATAAAGAATATTGTTTCAAAAGCAGAAGCGGTAGACAGATAAATTGTATAAGTTTCGTCGATAGCATCATGTAAGGTACAGAAATAAATATTAAACTACTCGCAGTTCGTCTGTTCGTATAATCTAAGACTAACGTCACAGATAATATCAACTTACATGAATAACGCGATATTTAGCGTAACTTATTGAAGCTAGTCTAGGAAAAGATGATTTATAAGTCTCTAAGGTTTTTTCTAGAATGTATCTAGACTGAACTGTAAGAAGGAAAAGATTTCAACTATCTTATCATCAACAAAACTGTAGTCCTGGACTTTTGACAAAATTAATTTTGTTATTTGTAGCACTTTCTAAAAATTATATCACGTTCCTCTTTCGTATAGCAGACACATTTTTGTGTTTTACTGATTTTATAAGACTTCTTGCCGGAACGAAATATTTTCCTATATTAACCGCTCTACTTATTACTTTATTTACCGCAGCTTTCATTTATATGTTTACTAAAATTGCAAAGAAATGATGCGTGAAAGCAAATAAACTTCACTTATTCGAGCCTAAACCGACGAAGATAATTTGACATTTTTACAAGAAGGTTTAATGAAGACAGTACTGAATCCTAATTACCATAATCTCGATTTAGCAAAAGTTTTGCAGTTACTCATAATAAGATCATTGCACCGTACAAAGCGCTGATCGCTAAATGCTAAACTTTCGTAGGAAAATCTGTACCTTGGTGAATTTATTTGTCGTTTTCATGCATATCGGGACATTTTATTATTATAGAAAAGCGAACCAAGTAAGAAGACACCTTTATGTTATCAGACAGTGCTATTTAAACCTTAAATAAAGATTCTACAACAAAGCAGTTATATATAAACCCCATTTTTATTGTCCGCTTACTAATTTACTTAAATTAAACCACGTATAACATCTTTTGTGACCGTTTTTAAATATGTAGCTTACGCGAGTAGCACACATTTAAATAAAACACTTTGACTGATAAGTTAAACTTATTTGTAAATTAGTTTAACAAGGGCCCGACGTTTCGGATGCAGCAGCCGTGGTCACGGGGTCACCTCCTCGTGACCACAGCAATAAAATACAATTTAATAAGTTTAATTAATACAATATTTCGCGTTTTAAGCCGTTAACGTGTTTTATTTAAATTACCGATTTTTTTTAAAAGGAATGGGAACATACGAAGCCTCCTATATAAAACTACAGGTCTACGCCAGATATTCTGTTCAAATTGCTTAATATTTTCCTTCGGAGGTTGGAACTTAGGATATTATATACGGGCGTTTAACCACGTAGCCATAAGGCGAGCAGTGGTTTATAATCAATCTACACGATGCTTACTTTACTTACACGAACTTAATCCTACATTGGTCTTTCAACTGGATACCGACGACTTATATTCGGACATGGACTAAGTTGGTGCCCAATTTGCACTTCTCACCTAACTCTTCGAGTTCCTCTGACACAAACTTTGGTATTAGAGACTCTGTGTTCCCAACAATTTAACTAAGGAATCTCGGATAATGCCTTACTTGAAATTCATGTTCACGGTTTCTACACTCTCGACGTGTTGCTAAGTTCCTTCGGAAATAAAATAAATACCTTAATTTTAATATATAACACAATTAAGAATATGATTGTTTTTAATTTATTCCAGCTACATAATTATGAATTGTTGATTCCGTTCAGTGCGTATAAAATGGCAGAAATAATAACGCATCGACGCATGGATAATAAATAATTTGGAGTTATTTATTTAACGAAATGCATATAAGTGTTTTCTGTAGTTTACGCGACTAGTACACATTTAAATAAAACGTTTTTAAACGGTAGAAACCGCGAAATATATTAGTTAACTTTTTTAAAATTGAATTTCCCCTCGTGACCACGGCTGCCAAACATCCGAAACGGGCCGTTCTTAAATTAAAAATAATGTAACTTTATTATGTCAGAAAAAGGACAGACAAGCAAGAGGATCACTTGATGGAAAGTAAAATAGCCCAGCTATATAACATCTAAAAAAGATGTGCTGTCGATCTATTTTGGCTTTGGTTATTCGAAATGATATATATCGCGTTTTAAACCGTTAAAAGTGCTTTTTTTAACATGTGTTCAAATTGAATGAAATTTAATTTACTGTGTGTTAGACGTAGGATAGATAGATTGAAACAAAATACAAACCTCGTGAATAGAGCAGCGAAGAACCATGCTAGAGCGCATATGAGTGTGGCCCTCGTTTTAGTGCAAACGTATCCGGCACGTAGTGGCTCACATATGGCGTAGTAGCGCTCGAAACTGATTGCCAAGATCGTGAGGACGGAGGCGTGAGCGACAGTTAGCTCCACAAACGGCACAGCTAGGCCTGGAAAAAAATTGCCTTTAAAGAAAAGCTAAAATTCATTATCCCCTATAAAAAAGAATTGAGACATTTCTGTGTCTGTTTCTAGAATAAGACGGTTGTTTAGTTCTTTTTCCAGAGAGCACCGAATAACACTACACTAAGATTTTTGGTGCAACTCCCAACCGAGCCAAAATCGAATGTAAGTACCTCTAGAGTCTAGATAAACACGATTCTTACGATGCCAGCGACACCGTCCGCGTAGTGTAGTTACATTTGGCCGTCAAAATTTGTTTTAACCTTCTTTATAAAACATAGCAGTTGCCCACAACTTCGGTCGCGTCCCGTTCTTGGAAGTAAAGGGTAAAAAGATATATTATAGACATATATTGTCGCGGCCATTTTTTGGAACATTTAAAGAGGATTCATTCAGTAATACATATTTTTGTCTTATACAAATACAAATATTCTTTATTGTCAAAAAACAAAACAACAACAAAATATATATATATATATATATATATATAAAAAATTGATGGAAATTAAGTACAAACGGCGACTTTATAGCTAAATAGCTATCTCTTCCAAGCAACCGTGATAGAAATGAAAGTTCAGTAATAAAAAAACATTGCGTGACAGTAGAAAAAAGACTTAACTTACACACTAAAACTAATAATAAACAATAATACAAAATGAGCTTAACCTAAGAATCATTAAATTACTATCTTAACTAAGTTACTTAATTAGGCATAAATAGTGGGACTTGACAAGATTCTTGAAGGAAGCGAGATTCTGGGCTTTTCTTATATTAGATGCCATGCCATACCATAAAGATAGAATAACTTCCCCCGTTTTTCTACGTTTCCCACTGTTCTCTGCTATCGTTCGGAGCCAGAGGTTTTTAACCTAAAGCCGTCCTCGATCAATTTTCTAACCAATGCAAAAATAATTTGAAGCAGTAGTATTGGTATTAGGGCGTTTAAAGAAAAATTCTTCAACTTTATATTATTAGTATAGATGAGTTAAATATCCGTAACACAGTCCTTGGCTATAAAAACTTCATACGGCCACATAACCGGGTGCATATTAAAATACAAGAGAAAGTGGATAGTTAATTTAGGCTAGATAATAAAGGCAGGCCTGTCAGGGACGTACCAGCCCCGATGCGGGCATAATTTACGAGCTCTCTCTAGTCTAGTCTATGGAACATGAGTGATAGATCCTGATTATATCAAGATCACTAATTTTATATAAAATTTCGAGTTTTTATGACGGGTTATAGTTAAAAACATATTTAAATAAAACGATTTAACGGTTTAAACGCGATATATTAGTTAAACTCATTTGAAAATGATTTTTAACTTCGGCCCGACGTTCCGGTTGCTGCAAAGCATCCGAAACGTCTAACTAATATATCGCGTTTTAAACCGTTAAAGTGTTTTATTTAAATGTGTACTACTCGCGTAAACTATAGACAGTATTTAAAAACATAATTTTTTTACTTTATATATAGGAACTATAGCATCTTTGGTATGATAGTAGCAATGTATAGCTAATCATAAATAACGAGTCTACACAACATATTCACCTTCCATGCTGGTGAGAATCGAACTCCATCAATTCTTAGCTAGCATTAGACCAATGATACACAAATCTAGTCTTATCTGAAAGGTTTATTAGATAATTTGTTTTATTGTAATGCACAATATCCATCTTGCTAATTTGTTTACACATCGGAAAGCAATCGCGTAGAAACCAACACGCCATTACGTTAAGTGCAGGCATACTAATAAACCTAGAAAACCCAAGAAAATATGCGAAACACAGAGATAAAATACAAAGAGAGTGAAACTGAGTATTTTTCAAAAGTGTTGAACCATTAATAGAAAGTTTGATTTTAATTTTATATTAATTAAACTAATTATAATATAAGCTCTTATTGTATATAATAAAGCAATTATCTTTAAATCTGGGTATAAAATATATTTTCTATGTGTCATACAAAAGTTTTATTATTATAGGAAGTATTAGTGCACTGTTACTCCTAATGTGAAATTGAAATTATGTATTTATACGCGTTACTTTTTACTTTTATTATTAAATTATAAAATAATTATTTATCCTATTATCGTAAGGGACTGAGAAAGTCATATTAACGTTATTATTAATAGGTAATTTGTAATCTAATTTTATTCCAATTTTACGGGCGTCAAAGACAACGTGCAGACATCCAATTACTTCCAGTAAGCTCCAGTCGAGAAGTTGTTTGAAATCAAAATTAATTTGAGAGTTATCAAATTCCAATTTATGTTGTGACGCGCGAACGACGCAATCTGCGCGCAACTGCAAAATGTTGGAATTGTTTAAGTATTAGAATTATTAGCTTAAGGCTCTGGTCTCCTATAATCGCTGCTTATAGCGTAGCATCTTTCGTATTGATGGACACATTTTACACGCATGATGCGATATATATGTTGGTTTATTTCACCTACCGGCCGGCCTTATCGCTTATAAGCAATCTTCTTCAACCAATCAAACTAAAAATAAACAAGATATGCTCCACGTACTAACTTCTTTATAACTACAAAATAACTTTAAAATAATTATAATAACCTATTAAAATTAAATTCGTAAAGGGAAAATAATGTTAAATCTAAGAAGAAGGACAAAAAATGCTTATAGGGTTTTGATGGAAGTCAAAGAAGGGGCGTACTAAATCAGGTAGAGAGTTCCAAAGCTTTGCCGTAGAGATAGAAAAAGAGTTGGTCGACAAACAAATCATCCATCAAATTCGACAATTGCTATCCGTCGATTCGAAGTAACTATTGGATGTTGTTATAAAGCAGACACCGCTACATTTCTATATTGTGACTTTATCTACTCCGCCATTTTAAAGAACGCTATTGTACGACATCTATGGCGTTTAAATGAAACCACAGCCTAAACTTGGAGATAGTTTGCTACAAATGTCAGTTGTTATAGAGGCCAAAAGAGCTCTTGCTTCACTATTTAGTTTGAAGCTTTGAATATGGTTTAAATTTTGGAAATACAAATCGAGAGTGAAATTGAGTATTGGACTGTTGATTTGAGATCATTTCGATTTATGAAAACCGATGAATTACATGGCGTACAATACACATTTTGAACACCAAATCTCGTCTATTATCTCACCTATCTCAATCTATTATTATATAATAGTTTGATGTCGAAAAATTCTTAGATGGCTTCTAATGGATTTTATTTACGAGGTTTTCAAAGTCTAATAATAATTACATTTTTGTAGATTCAGCTTCATAAAGTATATACATAATGTATTGTTACTTTAAAAACAATAAGGTAGAACTTTAACCCACAACCTACTGCAACAATAATTATACATAATAATAATAAAAAAGTGAACCACCGTTTTCCCCCTCGTGGGGCATGGGGCGAACACATTTCTGTGTCCGTTTTACTGATCCGTTCTTTTAACGAGCAATAGTTGATCAGACTTCAGTGCCCTGCCCGACCGAATTTTTTCGTTTCCCTCGGATTTAAACCCGTCCTGGGTTACCTCTCGCGCTTAACGCAATGCTATGCTATATTTAAGAATTTGGCTACAGTGGCGGTCACATAATAATAATACTTTAGCAAAAATATATACAAAAATAAAAGATCTTACAACTTACTGAACCACATTAAAAAGTTAGAGCAAGATGCGTATGAACATTTAAATGTTATAAAGATTTTTACTTTATTTACTTACCAATATAAGAATAAGAAATAGGGGCATGAATACTGATCCCTTTTTGCCTAAAAGAAAAAGTACAGTGAATATATCAGCAAATCGGCTTCTTACTCATCTCAAAGAAACAATGATTACACCAGTAAAAAACTCGTAAAGTCTCCGATACCACAAATACACTTCGCTTCGCAGAATTATATCATATTCGGTTTTATTACGTTTAATAAGAGCGGTTTGGATTTTTATTTAGCTTGTATCTTTTCAAAATTTTCAAAATGTTAATTTTCTATACGTATATTTGTTGTGATTCATCATATATATTTTTAAAGACTCTAAACCTGCTTAATAAAACAAAATTTCACTTAAAGAAAAATTACAATGGCAATACAAAAATACAACGATTTTACAAACATTACGTCCACTACGTAATATTGGTACCTAAAAATGGTGAAAGAAAATATTTTATGAGTAAAACCTACAAAAAACTTACAATGTTTTTTATAAGTACCGGAAGGGACTATAAAAAGACAATAAAATATTGATGTACCTACATATATATATTGATAAAATAATTTGTTTAAATAAAACATTTTACCGATAAAAAACGTCTGCTGCAAAGCATCCGAAACGTCGGGCCGTAGTTAAAAATATTTTAAAAAAAGTTTAACTATATCACGTTTTAAACCGTTTAAGTGTTTTATTTAAATGTGTACTACTCGCGTAAACTACAGACAGTACTTAAATAATTTGTATGATAATTTTAGGTTTAATTAAAATTAACCTTATATATTTTTTAATAACAGCCACACACACCACTGTTACAGTTTAAACAATGTTCTGTAAAAACCAACACCAGAAACCGGCTCCATAATTCGCTTCGGCTTCTTTGATGTTGGTAAAAGTATGAAAACAACATCATACATTTCGACAAAACTTTTAAGTTTTCATATAATTTAATTAACACGTGAATTAAATACTTAAGTGGAAACCCTTAAATATCAATATAACTCGAATAAATAACTGATAATTCGATAAAAATCAGAGCAAAGTACTTTACAAGCAATTAAGGATCGTTGCAGTGGTTTTTGCGGAGCGATCATAATAACTTTCAAAAATTTCAATAATTTTTATTAAATGTCTGTGATATAGCAAAGAAATTCGATTCTAAGAAATATTGGGGTCTTGCTTGGGGTTTAAATAAATCATTATAAACGCTTTATTGCCATCATTAAAATATTGTCATAATATGCATAAAAGTTACCAGTCAAGAGTAAATTCCATAGATATCTATCTACCATAATTTTGAAATTGCACAGTCACAGATAATAATTAACTTTTTATTTACATTCTTGGCACCTTATTAACTGTATATACTTTTGCGTCTTCGAGTGACGTTTTTGGAAAGCAATGGTACAAATTTAATGAAAGAATAAATTAATTGTTATCGTTATCAACGCTTTTAATTTAGTACAAGTGGGAGCTAAGTGATGATAAAAACTCTTCGTATCTAGACTTTATTGATAAATTGCTCACTTAATGGAGTCTGATTTTCATATAATTTGGTAACTAATATTTTTTTATGAGTCTGACTAAATCATTTTATATACGATGATACGTCGTATTGGACGGTAAGTTCGAATTCCAGCTTCGTGATATTTTCATTCATATAAAGATTTCTTAGTAATCTCATTTCAACCGAAGTTATTAATATTTCATATACCTAATAACTCGTTGTGGCACAGAAGCACTTAGCAAAAATCTCGCCTCAATCAGACGAACTTCTAATTACGTAAGTACAACCCGTTCAAAACAAATTACAGTTACTGGCAATATTACCTGCACAGTCCCTTCAGTGTTGCCACATAAAAACAGTCACCGTACTTAATTTGCCTCGAAAACTTTTTATTAATATTTAATGGTCAAAATAACGTTATTATGAGGTTGCATTCGATTGAATTTCGTATTAATTTTGTCAGTAATTGAAATTTCATATAACAATTTGAATAGTAATGTGACTTTTTATGTTATTTTTTACGTTGATTACAAAACAGTCGTCTTTGGAGAGGGTTTTGTTTGTCTTATATTGCCCGCTTTATCTGTAGGATGTGCCTTAAAATAAAAGATCGTTGATAAGAGACTTCTGAATTGTTATCAGTCTATAATATAAAGGTCAGCGTGCTTGAGAATATACAATTATATTTAAATTTAATTTGATCATTTAGTAGCAGAAAGAAGGTCTTTATTTTGAGCTACCGTGTCTCAATTGGTTAAAGCAGCAGCACAGAACGCTGTGGATGCCGGTTCAAGTTCCGCTCGTGTAAATTTTTTTCAATGTTATTTACATTTTAATTTATATAATGCCATTATGTGAATAATATGAGAAAAATGTTAAGGATTTCAACACATCCTAATAATAAAAACAAACCACGATTATACTTCACGACATCGCAAAATCTCGATACTTCTATATCTTTAATCTTAAATGAATTGGAACGGCCCATTGGGTATTAAGAATACCTTGCTACCTTTGTCCCATCGAGCCGGAATTATACTTACACAACTCCTTTCCAAGCACCCACGTCTCTGGCTTCGAATTAACCTCCACCAGCACTGTAGGCGTACAAACGAGCAACACCATCAGGTCAGCAATGCTCAGATTCACCAGGAAAATATTCGTAGAGTTCCTCATGTCCTTCGTCTTCAGAATCACTATCGGCACCATGACATTCCCTATCACACCCAAGCACATGATGACGATACAAAAAGTCATGGAGGTCGCTTTTATGTAATATGGAATTTCCGCGTATTCAGTGAAGTTAGGAAATGTAGTGTTCGCCTCGAAATCGAAGAACACCTCGCGTGTGTGCGTTTCATTTTTGTATGTGATTGGCTCCGGTTGACTTGTCGATGTTTGCGTGAAATTTGCGATCGAAATCATGTGCGTGCACGCTTCACATTTTTGGGCTAGCTTTTGGATTTGCGTCCGTTAGTTTCTGGATGGGATCTGAAACAATGAGTAATGAGTTAAGCTTATTGACTTACTAGCTCATTTGGCAAACTTTTTTTGCCATATGAAATATTGAAAAAAATTGATTCCCATAAAATCGATTTAATCTTAAAAAATGGGCATATGTTAGTGAAACTATGTCAAATTTGCAGGGTATCCATAAAACACAATCCTTTAACCACAATTAGGTCAAGTCTAAATGTAGGTTAAATTGGGGAGCTGAGAAAAACTCCCATAAATTTCCCATATCTCCAGGTATCACGCGTGTTTGTCTTCTTGATTAATGGTGGAAACGTATTCTCACCATAGCTTTACCTCCGTTAAAAAATAAATAGGCTACATCAATTGTAAATCTTGGTTTCAAAATGTTAAATTATAGGACAGGTTGATTTAATAGAATGTTATAACATCTTTATCTTATATTTATCTTTAGTTGAATAAAAGATAAGATCACAATCTTTGGGTAGGTTTGAGAAGGTAAGAATTAGATTATGTGGGATTTATATTTTTTTTTGTTGGGTAATAATCTTGAGTATTTTGTCTAATATGGAATCATAAGGTTGATTAATTCAGGTAGGGTAAAAGTTGTTGTAAATTATTGTAGTATGTAAATAAGTTTAATTATTGTTTTGTAATCGCAAAAGTTGATGGATTTTTTATACATAATCTATTGTAAAAAACGTCTCATGCTTATAGATTAATGATTTAATAAATGCACTACGAGTCTTTTTTACTATAATTTGTATAATTGCAAAGGAGTTTATTTAACCGTCAATTTTGTATTATAGAATATAAATATTTATTAACACAGCACTTCACTAAGTTATAGGGATTTTCTTTTCTTAGAAGTTAAATGTATCTCCTACTATAGAAGAACAAGAATATATTTTATAATGTTTGCCCGCGACCGTCCGCTTGGAATAGTTTTTTCATCATTTTATTATTATTATTTATTTTTACAAACAAGCGGAATTTTAAGTTACCGACGACGTCGTCCGCGTCCGTCGTTTTCGAGTTAATCTTAAAACTCTCTCTATCTTTAATGTCATCTAAAAAATTGTTTATTTTTAACAAATCTAAAAAAATAGAACATTTAAAGAATAATCATTATTTCATACATATTTTCTGGTTTCTTAAACCGCATGAATATATAAAACAATATAATAATGTTCCCCATTTTTATCATATTTCCCTTTGCTTCTTTGCTTATTGGTCCCAGCGTGATGTCATATAGGTTAATGTGTTATATTGAAATGTCATATAGCATGAAACCATCCCAAAAAAATTGTTTATCCAACACAAAAATAATTTTTCAACTTATACCAATTTCTGAGATAAGCGCGTTCAAATAAACTAACTCTTCAGCGTTATATTTTAGCGTTGTCTCTATAACTATGAATGCATATGACGTACCTATATATAATAGTTTATTGGCTATTTATCGATATTTAGGATTTCGTTACATCACGAAATAATTAGATCTGGCTACACTCAAGTCGTCACGTAATAGTGTCAGCGGGGAGCCGGCCCTTGCTACAAGTAGGTCACAAAAGCCAAGGAAGGACCATATCCAATCCTTATATACTTATTGGTATATGCTCTACGTCGAGGGGACAAAGAAAATCTTCAAAAACAGGTGGTCGATTATAATGTTATATTTATAGCATCTACTTGATAAATATGGTTGGAGAATATGTGACTTACAAAACGGAAGTTTATTTACTCCTAAAAGTTTTCAAAATAATTATCTATTAGGATTTATGTAAATTCCGTTTTCAATGCTATTTTAATATTTAGACATTTTAGCCTTTTAGAAAATGAAACAATTAGAAATACATCATACAGAACTAATGTTATCGCGTACTTTTTGTTGCGTTTTTCCTAGAGTGTATAATAAAAGTCGCGGTAGTCTATAAATTTCAAGAACTTCAAGAACTTAAATAAGAGTTCCGACAAAGCTAGTAATAAAATATAGCTGTAATTACAATAGTATTAAGAAAGCAGTTTAATTTTGGTCTTAATGAAACGAACTAACGGTTCTATACAGCTCTGTTAAGGACAAATTGGATTTAAATTTAATTAAGAGTTCTTCCTGAGGGAAATAGCCATGGAAACTTTACAGCTTTATGTACAAATAAAACATTGTATAATGTAAAATGCAAACTTAGTTGTTGTATCTCTGCAAGGACCTGTTTATAGATAAATTTGGTATAGACACACTTCTGTGTTTTATTATTTATCGATTTTTACGTACAAAGAGATGACCTTTTTTATCTCGAGAATCGAACGCCGACAAAACTCTCGCGTCAGCGAGATATGAAGGTAATATATCAATCAGTTTACAATAAAACTGCTTCCGAGAAACTAGTAGCTATTTTTTTTATAAAACACTTTAACGCCGTCGCTTTAACTGCTGAAACATCGTTTTAACTGCTGCGAAGCATCCGAAACGTTTAAAATAATATTCAAACATGTTTTCTGATAAATATCGCGTTTTAAACGGTTAATGTGTTATATTGAAATGTGTATTACAGACAGTTGTAATTTTTATTTATTTCTATTTATGTAGCTTTAATGATAACCTAACTCTATTTTCATAATGAATTATGTACAAAATAAAATAGCGATTTTACTAGCACCCTTCAGAAGCAGAATCTTCGCATTTGTCATAACATTAATTATGAGAAATCTCAATAATTTTCGATAACTCCTCGCGGTTTGTATATTAATGAATTGCTGAGACATCGTTACTTTTATAGCACCTCATAAACGCAACCATCAAAATCTATGGTTGTAGTTGAGAAGCCCCTAAGGTATTGTACTAACGAGCGTTGGGAATACGGAAAATGGGTGATGTGAGGTTTAACAACCCTTTTTCTGACTTATCGCGTTTATAAATAGAAAAACTAAAATAACATGCAAAAAAAGTATAAGAAGTAGTATAAATACTGTCTATAGTTTACGCGAGTAGTACACGTTTAAATAAAATACTTTAACGGTTTAAATCGCGATATATTAGTTAAACTTAACTAATATATCGCGTTTTAAACCGTTAAAGTGTTTTATTTAAATAATAAGAAGTTTCTTTACATTTTATAAGTTAGCCATAAAGTGGAATCGCGTTTCGGTTTCAGTCTGTGCATTTCCGAATAACCATAGCCAAAATAGGACGGCAGCACATCTTGGTGACATGTTATATGGCTAATATTTTAACTTTCATCTTGACCCCCCATGCTTTCGGTCCTCCTCTATCGTAGAAAATATCATATACATTTTCGTGATAACGACAGTATTTTATGAGACGACCAACAATCATGTCGATTTTAATTACTATTAACTTAATTTAAAACATTAAATAAAGATTCGCCTTCATCTCCTCTCCGTGAGTAAGTAAGGGATAGTTACTATTGAAGATTCGTAATTTATGTCCTTAATTTTTTATAGCTTAGTCTATATTTCCCTTGCGACATTCGTCTATGACAATTCTCTATAGGTATAGCCCAAACCCAAATGAAAGTATGCACTTTATTTGATTATGCGATATTGTGATTTATCGAGACAACAAATTTTCTTTATGATAGAATTTGTGGAGGGCGTTACACCTAATGCGTATTTTTAAGCAGATAAAAATACTTTACTGAATATTTTACTTACTCTTGAAGGCAATCTTCTCGTAAAAAATGATCTTACGAAAGCCACTTCGTAAATTATATCTTCTATCTTAATATTTAAATAAAACACTTTGAACGGTTTAAAACGCGAAATATACTGGTTAGTTTTTATGTAGGACGACATATAAACGCAAAAAAGTAACAAATATATTTCATGTTTTAAACCGTTCACATCCTTTTATTTGATCTGTACTACTCGCGTAAACTACATACAATGCTGAGACTTAACTGTTGTATATTTTTATACATATATTTAGCATATATTAAGATAAATACGAAAGTGTGTTTTTTTGTCCTTTCTTCATTGCATAAAATGTTACTTTATGTCAGTAAAAAAAGAAAAAGTGGTTAAAAGAGTTTTCATAGATTTTAAGTTCGACAACATATTTTACGGGTAACTATTTAATTTAAGAATCTCATCACATAATTCTAGACCAACCAATCTAATAGTCCGGACCATAACCATCAAAATTAACTACGAACGAAAACGTAATTGCTATAATTCCCAGCAAATCTTGAGTGGAAATTTTATTGGCCCTTACCCCCATTTTTGTAAGTTTGCTGAGATTTCACGGTTTATTCCAGATGAGCGTTCTGACGATGCTGGAACGCGTCATTAATTTTGGGTCTGTTTCTACCAAATGTGCCTCTTACATGCATTTGAGACATTATCTTAATATTGGGGGTCTATATTGTGGTCTCATTCTTCGCTCAAAGAAATAGTATCACAGATAAAATTGACTAATTTATTTTATTATTTTTTTTACGAACGGCCATTTTTTATCATCAGCGCCTTAAATAGGCAAAGAATACAAAAATCTAGTAAACATAATACGTATTCAAAGGTTTATCCATAGTCATATCTTCCGTTCAAATTGCATGCATGCATGTTTATTTTAATTTTAAATTTTGTAATACACGATTAGGCACTTTCCCTTTTTTAAAGTATAAGAACTGGTAAGGACTCATAAAACTTTCATTGTTAATCTGTGGTTGTTATATTATATTGTATGGTTAGCTAGTCCGCTGGTTAGCACAGATTATATTCTCTCAGATAATGACAATAAGAGAAGTACAGATAAAAAATATCTATGACATGTCTATTTCGCACAGTTTCCACAGCTTATATAAGATTAATATTATCAATGACAACCACGAAATAATGATAGGTAGTTTTACTAAAATCTTTCGGCCCTTTTAATATAAATGAAATAAGCAGTACCAATGTATCGCAAAACAAAAGCAACACAGTAAGCCACT